TGCGTTAAAAAAATGTTCCTAAAACACCATAGTGGTTTCCAGCATTAATTAGTTTTTGTTGCTTATCAGACGGGCGTATTCCCAAAACTCTCAATTTCAAAGAACGCGGCTTTACACGTCACGCATCAGAGACTTTGTGAAAGGTTACCCTTTACAAACTATCTGGCTCGACCGCTTCTTATCGCTGCTTGCCAGGACTTAGTATACTATACGTGTAAAATCATAAAATCAAGACAATAATCGAAAAAATAATATGGATGAAAATAAATATTAGAGCGATTTTTTACATTCAAATAACACTTACTATATTATAAGAACCTGAATTCCATTAATAAAGCTAGTATTTTTTTAATAAAATCATTTTTATTTAAAAATTATACAAATTGCTGCACGTTCAATAAATTAAATGAAGTCTTACTACGACGTGAAATTACAATTGAGGAAGACAACCTGTGATGGCACTCGAAGAGTTTTCATAAGTTATTTGTACTACACACAAGGTGATGTAATCTATTTCTCCGCGGACTCGTAAGGATTGGCTGTTCACAATAATGAAAACGCTGTGATTAATGTAGTAATGATGCCGTAATTAAAGTTCATACAGTTTTGGTCATTGATTATATTTATTTAATTTTGTCTGAACAAATTTAATGGTCTTGAAAATTCTTCAACGCAGAATTATGCATAAGCTCTAACTCTGTCGGCTAACATTTTGTCGTAACTACGAACCATTTACGTTTAATGGTATTTTTTATGAAAGGCAAACGGATTGTTGACCGGATTTTAGTTTACTTAAAAATTATGTTCGTTCTAAATAAAATCGTTATACATCCTAAGTCTCTGCTTTATGGTATCATAAAATTTATTCGAAATTTATCGATGAAATTATTTTTTATCAGTAAATAATTATGATTTTTTACAACATATCTTAACGTCATTGAAATACAATGCACGTAAATTTATGTTATTGTCTTGAGTATTGTTTATATGGTATTATTAAATTGTGTCAGACTGAATCCATAAGTTAATTAAGTCGTGAATAGTACTAATATAACAGTTTTATTTGTCAAATATGTTTTGCAATTTTATATGTTTATTATTTACTTTCATAAACCAACTCGATAATAAAAATACATTGATAAGTTGAATAATATCATCGAAATAAATTAATATTTTTTCAAATTATCGTTATTGGTACACATAATTGCCAAATTATTCCGAGGGCTTCGCATATTAATTGTAACTGATTTTTATTTTCCTGATATAAGTTATATTTCAAAGTATAAAACGTGAAACATTAAAAAAAATACAGTGTTTATTGTAACATGATTTTTGATATATTCAACTGTAACGTTAAATTTTTGTAATTGAAGTAAACTAAATTCTCAGAGTATAGTTTATCACATAGGATTTTTTTTACCATCATTTATTTATAGTAATTCGCATTTATAAATATTTACTAAATAATTATAGACAATTTCAATTTATGTTTATGTTCATGATCTGTTTTGTTATTGTTAACTATTTTATTTCGTTTATTAATTTAACTGATTTTCATTTGCTTTGTTGAATAATGTTTACCTAATAATGTTACCTACTAAAAAAAAAAGACTGCTGATGAGTTTGGTGCCTTCCTTCTGTTTCGTTCTCTCACAAACATTAAACGACCAAATAATGCGAAATGATTTACATTCGTTTGGCAGCTTTTTAAAATGCGTCTGGTCACGCAGCAGATAAATTCTATTGGTGAGAGGGCGCCGAAGAGCTCTTGAATGCCGAAGGGTCTATAGCATATAGTTCTAAAATGATAAAAAAAACACGAAAAACCGTTTAGAAAATGCAACGTAATGACGTTACATAATCTCTACTACTGCAATGTTTTCACGTAACACGTGAGTAATTTCAAAAGATTTATGAAGTACCAAGTGGCATTTTGACATTGGTTTTGGGTTAGATACATATTGTTTTTTATTTAGGGGTGAAAATATAATGAAAAATAAAACTAAATACGCGATTATTTTTTGAAGTTATATGTATTTTAGTTTTAAATTATCATGTTTAATACAATTCAAATTTTAAATAATATTAACCAAATATGATAAATTTTTATAAAACTAAAATGAAATTATTGAAATCAATGAATTTGTATTAGTAGAAATCGATGTTAATTAATTTGAACAGTTAGCCTATTAATTATTAGCCGAATCGAGTAGATTATTGAAACTGAATATTTTTGTCAGCTAATTATAAAGTTTTTATAAAGTTGTAAAAATTGTTTGCTCGTATATCCCCACGGGTGGTTGTCTGGTAAAACTAGCTCGGCCATTATTATTATTTTTTATACTGTTATGAAAACGACAACAGCAATATAATGTCTTTCGGCATAATAGTATTCGTTTAAAATAGTCCGAGTAAACGCCTTTAATAATGATATAAACGAAAAATTATTACCACAAAGAAGAAAGTTGTTGGAGGAGGCTCTGTGGTCTCATTACACATGAAGAATGGCATAAGTTTGTAGTGTTATATGCAATTTCGCAAGTCGTTATTAGTACTTCCGTACAAATATTTTCCGACAAAAACACGCAGATTTTTTACAATAACTTTTTTCCTTTCAACGCGTTGTACTCGTTCTGTTCGTAAGAATTTAAAATCAAGGTAGAATGGGCTTTCAGCCAAATAATTACTGGGGTTAATGTGAAACAATTTTCAAATAATAAAATACAAAGATTGTAATGCATTTTGTACGCTTTACATTACGGGCAGGTTTACAAAATACACAATATATTTCAAGTAGAAAATTTTTTTTAAGGATTTGTCGGCGGCTAGGATTAAAATCCCGTTCGATATGGTTGGTCGACGAATGGAAATAAATTTAATTCATACCCTAGACAGCCTTACTACGTGGACATTTAATACCAAAGCGGAGGAGTTTATAATTTAATTCTCACCGCTTCGGAAATACAGTTCGCACCCGCGTAAATACGCCGTGTCGTTAAAAATCCAATTCTTTGTATGAAAACACTTTTTTTAAAGTTCACAAAGCTCATTCTTTTATATTTTATTCACCGCAGGAAACGGTGCTGCAATAATTATTAGTTACACAAAAGTATAATGCTGACAGAACTTCAATGACGCAAGAGGGTTTCACTAAAAGTTACATAATATTAACACCAGAAAGACCGAAGGGAATAAAAATAGCAAGCAATACTTATAATTGAGGAAAAAAGTTTAAAAGCTTCAACAATTTTTATGATCTTATATTTTTTTTTTTTATTCTCTCTTTTGCTCTTTTAATTTAATTTTTATTAGATATATTTGTGTATTTTACTGTACCACTTTTGTGCTAATGGAACACTTGACTATTGAAAAATCAGAGTGCGTTAAATTTTGCAGATAAAATGGTTGAAACTACAAGGTTTTCTGAAGTAATTACATTTGACCGCTGGGATGCAATTATATCGGAAGTATAGAGAAGGCTTACAATAACATTAGGCTTTTGCAAAAGAAGAGTTAGGGTAAAAGGACTTACTTCCGAAGGGTCTATTCGAGCGCGTGGACAAATATTTAATTACTGAACGCTTAACTGTGGACAAATGGCGCAATCAGACTCAGCGATGTTGGCAGAATCTCCCAAACAAAATCATTAATATTGTATAAATCCATTCATCCGTCAAAAGAGCCCTACGAATGTTTCAATCAATGATGACCAAGAGATAGAGTAAGAAAACAAAAATTAAAGCTCACAAATAATATAAAAATATTATTTTATAAGGTTAATTATTAACCCTATGTATTACTCGCATTTTTGTTTACCGTAATAGTTATAAGATGTAAAATAAAAAAAAATATATATAATTATTTTTAGAATTTTAAAAAGAAAACACAATGCGGGCTTCTCGAATAAAAAAACATAATATTATGACACGGACAGTGGAACTATCGCCAGAGAGTAGGGAAAAGTGTTATATAGAATAAAATAATTTATACAATTATAAATTATATAATAATTACAAATACTATACGTTTGAATAGTAGTGTTATTTGTATATATTAAGTCATTCTTGATTTATTATCTTTATTCCTTATAATTTCATCATATTTTTAAGAACTGTTAAACAAAGGATTGCAAAATAAAAAGATACAGCCAATATGGATATAAATTGAGTGTTTGAAAGTGTGAAAAATACTCAATCGCGAGAACACTAGCTGTGAGTAATTTTCCAAGAACCCTTCAATGTTTCCCGAAGTTAAGTGTGAAAAAGAACAACAGAAACGAAATATAGCTGTTGAAGATTTGTGTTGAAAAGAAAAAGGAGGAACGGGTAGTGCATTTGCCAATAGCAATAAGTATATGAAAAGGCGGCATTGTTACTGTCAAATTCAGAGAAGAGTAGAAGACGGCTGTAAAATAGGTAATCAATAAATATTCGATAACAGAATAGCTTTACTACGATACTATTTTCAAATTGAAATTTATTTGGTCTGTTTCTATTTAATATATATAATGTCAATAATATTTAATAATAAACACTCACTTGAATCAAATTTACTTTTGCAAAATATGTATTTTATTTTTATATTTTTAATTATTCTAATTGCATACAAATTATGATTACTCCAATGAAAAGAATGTATAAAAACAATTTCTATAAATATTTGTACTTCGTAAAAAATCCAATAAATTTAATAATAATAGCTTTTTCTATGTCCTATATATGAATAAACTTTATTAGGCTTCTTAATAGCATTATATAATTTTACATATTCAATTTGAAAACGTGTAACGACACTTCTAAATAAATAAAAATTACTTTTCTACAATAATTTTTTGTTATTATTTAATAATTGTCTACTATATTCATTATGTTTTAGAAATGATTATGGTCAGCAAAAATAAACATTAAAATCAAACAAAAATTATTTTTTCATGTGTTCTACGTTAAGTTCATATTGTACACTTATGGTATACTTAACTAGCTTAAATTTTTGGTACTTACTGTAACTAAACGATTGTATAGACTTCGGTCGATAGATGAGTAGTAACACAAGAACTGTGACTGTTTGCATTTTATAATAAACAACGTCCATTATTATAATGTAAAATTGCTTGCCCCAGTTCTGTCAAATCGATTGATATTGAAAAAATATTCACCATGTTTAGATTTGACAAGTTACAACATCCTTTCGTCTAAAAGTCCTTGATGCATACTTATTATATCATTTAATCTGAAAAAGTCCAAATTTTTTTCTTAGATTTATTACTTTAAAGCTAATTAAAATTTCAAATCAAATTTCTGTAGTCACAAAAAGAGTATCTTATTACATTATATGTCATCTTAGAGCTAACTTAATTTCTTTATCTTAAGAAGGTTTCTTAACTAAGAGATATATGTCACATAAAGTAGTCAAACAAACAAATTTTATTAAGAAGCACGTGTATATGCTTGTGAGTACTTCAAAGATGAATCGATATCACCATGACTACTGGTCAAAGATCATGATGGTCAAAGCTTACAATAACAACAGAAAACACAGGTAAATCTGATAATATTTTCTGCTTTACCGCTTTTCATATTTTTTTCCACTTCACTGCACATCTATTGGTGTGAGTTGGTGGTATGTATTTTATAGTACATATTCTTTTTGATACAATAGAGTAGCAATATATGTATACTTCGAGTGGTGTTTGAGACGCTATAGGGTCGATGCGTTTGAATGTAGCCACAGAAATATTACTGTATAGAATTTCTTGTGGTTATAGACATCAAGTAATGGAGTTCTTCTATACAAGCAATTTAACTGCGATAACACAAAAATCGAATATTTTGTTTCAGTGACAAATATTTGTGGGAACCAATTAAAATTGTGTTGAAAAGACTTGTTTATTGCGATATTTTAAAATTTATCGAAAAAAGAGTTGTATTATCGCCTGAATAAAAACATTTATAACTTCTACAATTTTATCAAAATATTTGTTCTCGAAGAAAAAAAAATTAGGTATGTTTGTAAATGTTGTTAATTTTTGTAATGGTTAGATATGAGTTACATGAAACTTGTGTCTGAATGTATGAGTATGCTACTGTTTAGGGTGCCTTTAAAAAAAAATAATATATTTTTTTAAATGAGTTGCAATGTGCACGGACGGATATAAAAATGTTATAAAATGCCTATAAAGTGCATTGTTGTTTAAACCCTTACTATCAACAACGATGGCAATGACTGTGCTTTGCAAAAGAATATCATTGGAAGCGGTTTTCTTTGCAATTGTCGCTATTTTTTTATCGTCGTTATAGCGGAAGAACGCGGCGATCCATTTTCGTTGTTTAGAGACACTTCTTCTTCTGAACCATATATATGTTATGTCCCATCATATATGCGATCAAAATAAATGTAAAGTTACCACAGCGTGTATTCCCAACAGACGTCTACGTATTTTAATCAAAACAAAGGTAAAACTCGTTCATGTTTTCTGTTACTTTGCAAATATATATATTTTTACTACTGTCGCTTATATATTTTTTAAAATTCTATTTGAGCACCAGAAGCCTTTTGTGAGGTGGCTTTGAGATGATTTTTACCTTGACATATTTTTTGCGTGTTTATTAAAGAATATTCGGAAATCCGAAGAAAAAAATTGTTTTTTTCTATTACACGCATAAAAAATGAATACATTTTATTTTTTATCTAATACATTACCTTGTAAATATTTATAATTTATCTATATGCGAGTTAAGGTATTTTTTGAATACCTAAAAATGTTTTGTTACATGTTTTTACATTGTTTTATAAAACCATAATTTTCATTGGCCCTTAGTTATTTTGTTCTTGAATTTTAATGCATAACAAATATGATCTTACCATGTGAATACCATATGTAATTTGAGTAGCTAGTACATTGTTTACTCTGTAATATAATAGTGTTACAGTATAAGAGTATGTCAACGGAATTCAAAACATTTAGAAAGATGCAAATAAATGACATATAATTTTGCTTGTATTCTGACATTTAAATTCAGTTAAAGAAGTAAGTATTTCTTATACATTTATATATTATTCTATTTTAAGCAAAGTAATATTTCCAATGTTTATGTTGCCATAATAGTGGTTAATGATTTAAAAACAAATATTTATATTTTAAACAATAAAATACTATTTAATGTATACATTTTTTTTGCAATTCAATTGATTCAAAATTGGTAAAATTCGAACCACTAATTTTTTAAATTATTTTCCAGTGAAAATGAGTTAACTTGTTTGAATTAATGTAAATCGTTACATTAATATTTATTTAATTTAAATTTTATGAGATAAATGAATAAAAATCACTCTGTAAAAATATTTTTTTTTTTATTACCTTAAGCAAATTTATTATGCTAAGTATTTACTCAAAAAAATATTTAAATTTGAATTTTGTCGGAAAAATAATTTAATATTTAAATTGACGTCAAAAGTTAATATTAGTATAATTTCTAGTTTTATTTTATTTTGTCATATATTTGCCATTGTATTTTTATTATTAATAACTTTTTTTCAATTAATTATTTAAAACACTATTAGTTTTATTACCAATTATTAGTTGCTTATTATTAACCACGAATTATAATTAACACATCAACTGAAAAATAAATTTTATCCATACACACATTTATTGTTTAGACAGAGACGTTATATATAATTCTCAACATATTTAAAAATGAAACTCTTTTAGAAGTTAGAATTAATAGTCTGGCATTTAGAATTAATTTTTTAGCATGTTACAAACAAGGGTTATTTTGTGATGAAAATTTAACCGATGAGTGTGTCCTCTGCAGAAGGGCGTTGGCCGGAAGCTATCTGATGTATGATGCCCTCATGTACTAGGTACATCATGGATAATGATTTATTATTTTCAGAAGCATATAGTATAACCTTTTATTTATTTTTTTACTCCACTTAGATAAAATTTGACATTGTGAATAGAAAATTTAATATTTGTGATAAAACAGGCTGACTGATAGATAAATTTGAGATTTATGAAATCATAGTTAACAAAAGAATGGATAGGCTAACTAACAACAAAAAAGATTCTTGTTTCGAGAAAAACGAAAAGAGAAAAAATCAGATTTCATATCATATTTTCTTGTTATATGAAAGAGTCTTATCGTATATTGTGTAAAATGAGATATTGTATTGATAATACCATTATAAAAGACTAAAGATGTCTCATATTTATTTTTATAATTAAAATTATTCGTCCCTCCTTCTTGGGTCATTTTAATCGGAGATAAAATAAACGTTAGGAGAAGCTTAAAAATGCCAAGAATTTAACTATTGCTCAATACATTAAAATCATTGTTTATTTGAATATTATATTTTAAAGATATCAAAGTAAATAAATAGACTCCCTTTTGAATATTGAATGCAGCATTCATTCAATAACAAACAAGTAGGTGTTATATTATATAATAACAATAAAAATAAATAAAGTCTAATACGAAATCTCAAACATACGAGTAAAATTTTGATATAGCTAAAATAATAATAATGTTGTCCATATTATTCCGTATAAAATATCGCATTTCAATATTTTATGTTGTAGTTTACCTAGTTTGGTTTTCCTCCACAAAATTCCTAAGTCGTAACATAGCAACGACTCAGTTTTCTAATTAAATTTTTAATCGTCCCACTTCAACCTCTGTTTATTTCACCTGGAACATGCAGAAATGTTGCCAGATACGGTAATAAAGGCTCGACAGCATTTTCCATTTAGAATAATTCGTGCATATTTTATTTTCGCTTTTTGTAGGTAAAAAGTTCTCTTGCATTACGCACATTTTGTTTTCATTATTGACAATTCTTTCATTTTAGTAGGTAATTTTAATAAATTGTAATTTTAATTGTTAATTATTGCCTCAAGAAATATTTTAAGTATGTGATTATACAAGCTTAATGAAAATAAATATTCTTCAAAAAACTGAAACCAAGAATTTCTTCTCATACTTTGTTTTAGTAAATGTTGAACTACCCATTTAAAATATTTTACAATAAGTATTCTCGTGAAGTAATAAAGAACCTAAGTGAATGGTTTAAATTGTTTTATTTTACAGAACCATAAGCTCTTACTGTTGTTCATCTTTCTAGTCGTCGTTATACACACCGTTTAAAAACTTAGCACATTAAACAGGCACAAAAGACATTTTAAATTGTCATAATTATTATGTTTATGATAACACGTAAGTTTCTTATAATAGAAACTTATACTATAAGTGTTACTATACAAGTTTAAAAATTGTAAAAATAAAAAAAGTTTCGAAACAATAATTGGCCTATATTTATTTAAATAAATCAAAATAATATAATTTTATAAACAATAATTGTTTATTAGTTATTTTTTTTGATATAGCTATTAATTATAAAATAATTATATGAATATTTTTTTTAAATTAACATTTATATTCTTGTTTATATTTAACTATACTATTATTGGTTTAATCTATAGTTTATGCTATTTAAAAAATATATTTTTTATTTTAACTCATTTTGTTTAATGATTTTATAATTTAATTGATAATATAGATTGCTAATTGATAATATAAAAGTTTTTCGATAATACTCCTTCAATTACTGGTGCCTTTTAGGCCTAAATGGGACCTTCAGTAATAAGACATGGCAGATTGAAGTGAAAGTGCCCGTAGGGCACAATACGCACGTTTATGTTGTAGGGTTATACCATAAATAACTGAATTTCCCCAAAGACTAGCACAAAATCTCACAGTAGTTTGCTGATAGTCAAAGTTTTTTAAAAACATGTATTTTGTCGTTAGCATTAACATGATACTACAGGTTTATTATCGTCACGTGGGTTATAATTTTTTTTTATGTATTATTGTTAATACACAATCATTGCTAACTTTTTTTTATACCAACACACTTTTTGTCTACTAAGTAAAATTAACAATACATTTAAAAAGTAGTAATATCAGTACACAAACTTATGTAATTTTCATATAAAATTTTGAAAGTAATCACATTATTACATTTTGTAATATATTATTAAATAATAAATTATCTGACGGCGCCTTGTATATGCAAATCATTGTCAGTCTTGTCATTTAGTATGGTGTTCATAATATTCTGGTTAAGTAAATATTCTTATGACGTAAAAAGTAGTAAGCGACAAATTGTATTAATTGACATTAAGTAATAGAAAATAATTGGTTGATGAAGTAAATAAATACAGTTCTATT